ATTCTTTATTAATGTCGGAGAACGGGCATTAATACGCAGCCTCTGCCCATCGCATTTCCCTCGCTTTTCCGCTCATCTCTTCCTCTAACCGTGTTCTCTTTACTCGCAAACTATCTGGACGTGTATCGCGATTTACAATTTCTACATTTCTCTAGCCTTATCGTTTCCCCTACCCTCTTCCTTACTTCGATCTTCTCGTATTATTTTTTTTTTTCCATTTTCTCAATTTTCTCTTTTCTTTTTTTTTTGTTTCTTTTCTCCTTTCCTCCTAACGCGTTCAACTTTGGTTATCTTCCCGTAGCCGCTGGAAAATCGCGGCTATTTCCCGCTCGATCGACCGCGCACGCAAAGTCGAAGCCTCCACACCACACACGCCGTTGGAAACCGTTATCCTTCTACGTAAATCGCGATTCCCCCGTCTACTGCTCATGATGGTACGCGTCCTCGTCCGTCCAGAGATCGTTCATCGTGGTAAATTTTTCCAAGGCATTTACATCGCTCACTGTACCGTCAGTCGACCGTGCTGCGTTCTGCCCTCTCGTCCATCCTGACGAAAAAGAAAATCGTGGTTCGTTAGCGACAGATTGCGACACGTGAACGACGAATACGCTGTGCGCGATTCGCCACGTTTGGAAGCCATGATTTTTGTGAAATCAGCGCAAGCGGATCGTGTTACTGTTGGAGTACTCCGATGTGAATGATAGTGAATGGAATCATTAACGAAAATGAGATCCTTTCGTGAACCGTGCATCGTTATCGTTACCGATTGTCCTCGGGATACAGCGATCGCGACGGATAATGATTCGGTCACGAAAGAATCTCGAAGCATTCTGCACCCTGCAATTTGTATCGGTAATCAGAGTTGAGGAATTAACGTTACGATTGTTCCATGTTGCACGCTAAGTCCTAGGAAACCTAGTGTTTCTGTTATATTCATCTCTGGTGAACGTGTTTGCGTTTGCTACAGAAGAATGAAAGTATTTCGTTACCGTGTTCGTTAGATAATGCGCTAAATTCGAAAAAGAACAACAGTATATATTATAATCTTTCGATCGTTGTTAACTGAATCAGCGTCCGATGAGAAACATAATGGTACTGCTTAGAGATTACACGTTACCTATGGAACGATTACGTACAGTTTGCAAAAATTGCAATTTCGATATTACAAACGTTTCACTGCCGTATGGTTAGTTTTGTCGACTCAACGAATCTGCTACATATTTAAATATCACGAAGCATGAAACACTTAAGATGATTTCAAAGCCAATGTTAAAGAACGTGACTACGTACCTGTTATTAGGTCTTAACAAGGCTCAATGGTAGCCATTAGTGAACGCCGCTGGTATTAGAGGACCCTAAAATACGAAGAAAAAGATATGATCGTGGTTCACGTGTAATGGTTTCAAGGGCAGAATTTTTATCGATATTTCTACGATTATTCTAGACGTTGCAAAATAGTTTCAATTACGTGCAATTGCGATACTTGATCCTGGAAGGTTGCATCGATCGATTAGAAAAATTTATTCTAGATAATAAAAGGAGGAGACAAGAATCGGAAGCTAAAAATAGAATGGAACGAAAATTTACAATATTGGCAAATTGAGAAGCTCAGCGATCAAAACTGGTTTGCAGTCGAAGCTGTTGCAACATAAGTTAGAAACTCCAATAAAAAAAGAAAAAAAAGAAAAAAAAAAAAACAAGAAAAAAAAGAGAAAAAAGAAACTCGCACCATACCATCGAATCTCTCGACTTTTCTTTGTTCTTTATCTTGTTTCGGTATCTTTTCTAAAGTACATCGAATAGATAAAAGAAGTATCACAGACAAGTTTAATAATTCGATGCTGTTAGTACGGTTAGCTGTTGGAAAAGTTTTTCGTTCAATCCGACTCTGTCGGCGAAAAGTTTAATTAAAATCTATTCACACCCTTTTAACGTGGAAATAAAAGAACGTGTTAAATGAATATCAATTAAATCAGGCTTCTAGCGACCAGCGAACAATGGCAATTTTTATTTCGTTCCAGTATCCGAATATTTTATTTTCCTTTTTTTTTCTCAGCTACTTTTGACAGTTTGAAATATAACAGTGGGATATTCCTCCAGGAAGCAGTATTACCAAATCGAGGACGTGGAATAATAACTATCGCGTTTCTAATATAACCAGAGAATGCCTGGAATTTACGAATTACCACTGTCCGTGTCAATCTTCATTTTCCGGGCATTCCCTCGTAGAGAATAAACGAAGACCACAGAGGATAAACGCGAGACGTCACGAAAAGATACTAAAAAAGATTCGATACATCACCGGAACAATCGAGTATCGCCGAAACCACGGTTTAATTCAATTTCGAGATTAAGCACGTACTTTTATACTCCCTCGAATATTTCGAAATCGGAAACAAAATTTCGTAACCGGATTAACCATCTATTCTTCGAACGTTCTATTATCAGACCGCCCCCTATTTTCAGCTTTCTCTCGTTCGTGCAATATTGAAACGTCTCCCCCCCCTTTTTAACCAACAAATCTCCAGGAAAACTAGAAAATGAACAAAAAAGTCTAGCCACATCCTCCCCGTGTAGTCTTCGCGATATATCTGTCCGATAATCGAGGTCCGCGAATAAATTTTCAACGCGTAGATGCGTACAAACCGCGCGAGATATGCCGATAATAAAAGGATTCAGATGCCAGGTAGTACGAGTCAACCATTTACGACGGCAAAAATTCGCAGACCCTCTATCCTCCGTGCAACCGTCTCCCTCACTCCCGGTTCACCCCAAAGTTAAATCGAGAACCCTCTAGCACGGGGAGCCAGCGTCGCAATCGACTCGTACCACTTGGCATGGAGGATCCTCTCGAGAGCCCGATCTTCAATTTAATTACGGAATAACCCGCGACGGATAAGCCCGGCGGGCCCTAGGTCGGCGTGTGAAGGGAGATCGTAGAGTGGACTTACGGGACTGTAGTTGAGCGGGGCACGGGACACGGCGATCGCAGGGAACGCGGTCGTAGGGGGCTGCGGACTAGCTGCGGCCTGGACGTAGCTGGCGACTGCGGAGTCCGCGGCTACGGCTGCTGCTGCGGCTGCGGCGTTTGAACTATACATGTCGATGGGGCCCGGCGAGTTGGCCGCAGGAAAAGACCGGCCCTGTGGCCCACCGTGGCCACCGGCCGCGTGCGGCGACGCCGGCGGAAATCCGGCCTGCGCTGCGGCCGCCTGGTAGTTGTTCATCACTGCAACGAACGCGCCGTCATTTTTAACATTCCCCATGCGCTGCCACCAATTAGCCGTGCTACCGGCGTCTCCTCGTCTCTCGCGACCGCGAAACGCGAACCGAGTGCAAACCGAGTTCGCGGGTATAAACCGGTAAAGAACGGCCAGAAGCGGCGTTTCGATTCCGCGTCTCTCCCCGATTCTTTCCAATTTCGTTCGAATTTCCTGTCGGAATTTCCGTCGAATTTCTTTCAGGCTTTCTTTCGAATCTCCTTCGAATTTCTTCCGACGTCCTCCCGAGTCCGTGTGCCGATGAATAACACAGAGCGACCGATCCGAGACGAGGTGGAAGCGATCGAACGAGGCACCACGCGAATTGAACGTGAAACGAGGCGGAAATGGACTCGGTTAGACGGCTATTCTCGCGGCTCTGATTCCTTTTGAAGGAAAAACAATCGGATTCGCGGGTTCGATGGCCGATTTGGAGAAGCCTCCAGTGCGTGTATGTAGATTCCGGTTTTTGTTGTAGCCGGAACTGCTGTGCGGTTGTGGGCGTGACTATAATAGCGTGTGTTACGGGGACGGTTCGATGGGTCGTTTAGAGTACGTCGAAACATTTAGAGTAGGAAGAGACAGTTTTCACAGATACAGAAATATGATACATGGCAAAAAGAAAATTCGTACAACACCGAAAAGCGTGATAGAGAGTGGGATTCGTGGTATTTGTATATATTTCGTGGCATAATCGTATCGGCTAATGAAATTCGTGGAACAATACGACACGAAGTTAGCCATCGAACGAGATGATCGATCTTCTCATCGAAACGCGACAATTCGATCCGATTGTTTTCGAATAATCGAACAAGCGTGTGTGAAACATCATACATCATACATGACTGAAGAATTCGTAACAGCATGCTAGAAAGACAAACACGTTGATTAACTTGTTCATTCAAACCATTCGCAGTGGCTAATTCGTAACAGCTAGCGTAATTTCTTCCTTTCGACAGCATCTACGCTCTCCGAGCGAACACGTCAACCATCGCAGTGTCGCTATGTCGTTACATAACCTTACCGAAACTATCGGGTATCTTCAGCATCGCTAATGACGCGCTTTACAATACCAGCAACACGATCACGCAAACAACATCGCGACAAAACTTGCGTTCCACTACATGTGTATATCCCGCAGTACGAGAAACGTCTCAATTAGAAAGCGACGCGCTGTTCGCGCGAGGAAAAAAGGAGAAAAAAGAAGAGAACGGGGGATGAAAAGGGGAAGAAATAAACTCGTATCCTTTGCGAAAGGGAAAG